TGGCTCAAAATCAATTATGTCTTTTTTAAATTCCAGTCACGGCTCAATTTTTGAGCATGAAAATCATAGTTATAGTATTGAAAATGAGCTTTCTCGTGATTCATACAATGAACCAATATGTGAGTTGTGCAAAGAAGAGGATATTAATAGTACCATGACATTGCTTTCACAAATGGAGACTCTTGGGTACCACCTACATTCAATATTTTACACTTACTTGATAACAACTCTTTGAACATTAGAAGCGGATACAATTTTCAATGAAATTATACTTTCGGGTTCCAGAAATTAAAGTGTTCAATGCATTGCTCAAAAATTGTTTGAGAAAAGGCCACTTGGAACTTGCAGATAAAGTTTCGAGAGTTTTTGTTTTTCTCTTCACACTGCGTGAAAAGATAGTTTGTCATCTCCCCGCACTTTGTGGAGTCTTTTTTTTTGCTCATGTGTGGAGTTTTTTTTTTTTGTCTTATAGGGTTTATGTATACTAAAATTATTATTATTTTTTTTAATGTTGTTGTCATGATGCATGTGTGGAAGAATATTTGTCAATTACCATAAACAAAATTTTTCACAAAATGTAAAAAATAAAAATATATAATAAATCTTCTTATTATGCTAATAAAATTACAATAATTTTATTTTTTTACAAATAATATAAAAAAGTCATTTTTATCTTTAACAAAAAAACACATTTAAAAATTAGCAATTTCATAACCATTTTTTTAAAATTTTCGGAAATACAATTATAAAAAAAGAAACAATATTGAATTACAATAGTTAATATTTAAGAAATTCAATATTAAATAAATTTTATATATTTATAACAAATTATAAATCCATATATGCAACTTACCGTATTTGCAGACAGCTTACCGTATATACAGCTTATCGTATATGCTGCATATCGTATTTGCAGCTTACCGTATTTGCACCTCACCGTATATGCTGCCTACCGTATTTGCAACTTACCGTATTTGTAAACAACCTTCCATATTTTCACTTTACCGTATTCGTAGCTTATCGTATATGTTGTCTACTGTATTTGCAACTTACTGTATTTTCAGCTTACCGTATATGCTGCCTACCGTATTTGTAACTTACCGTATATGCTGCCTACCGTATTTGCAACTTACTGTATTTTCAGCTTACCGTATATGCTGCCTACCGTATTTGTAACTTACCGTATATGCTGCCACCATATTTGCAGCTTATTGTATTTTTATATACCGATTTTTGCACTTATAAATACCGAGAATGCAGAACACTATACATTCACTTACCAAACCGAATTTAAAAAAAAAAATTCAGATTTTTATTTTTCCAATATAAACATAAAATAAATATTAAATATATATGAAGCACAAAATATAAATATATATGAATATGGTGCTCAATTTTCAATTTTCTAATATTGAATTACACAAAATTTAGAAATATAATCTTCATATTCAATTCAATCATATCAACACTATCAAAGAATACAAACAAAATAATTTGTATAATCTCGTATATTTTTTATTCAAGTATATTTTTTCTAAATGATACTGTTATACAATTATAAAAATAATTTGCAATTTTTTCTTATATCATGGAAATATTTCTAGATATTGTTTCAAAAAATTTCCAAAAAACTAAAATTCATACACTAATAAAAATATGATAAATGCAAAATTCGTGCAACGCACGTGACAGTCATTCTGCGAAGAGTTTTTTTTAAACTTCGCACTGTATAGAGAGTTTGCCAACTCTCCGCACTGTGCGAAAATTTTTTTTTGCTTTTTTTTTATTCCGTACTGTACGGAGAATCCTCACTTTGTGAGGACAGTGTTCGCACAGATTGTGCGAACTGTCTGATCTGAATGCCATATCTCCGCACTGTGCAAAAAGTTTTGCCATGATGTTCGCCATCTCCCCGTATTGTGCGGAGATATTTTTTTTTACTTTGCACTGTACGAAGAGTTTGTCAACTCTGCGCACATAGTTTACCATCTCTCAGCACTATGCGAAAAGTTTTTTCTTCCTTTTTTACTCCGCACATGGTTTGTCATCTCTCCGCACTGTGCGGAGAGTTTATTATTATTATTTTTAAAGCTTATGTGCGAAGATTTTTTTGTTGCTCATGATAGTTTATATTTACTAAAATTATTATTATTTTTTTTAATGCTAGTAACATGATGTGTGAAATAACATTTGTTTGATGTAATTTTTTTTAATGCTAGTGAGATAATGTGTGGAAGAACATTTATTTGACATAAACAAAATGATAAATAAAAATGAAATCATGCATAGTAAAATTGGATTAATTTACTATTACATGAATAGTATATCATCATTCCCCTTTTTATTAGAAGTTATATATATATACTAGTTTTTGACACGTGCATTGCACGAATTTTGTATTTATTGTATTTTTATTAGCGTCAAAATTGTAAATTTTTTACTTATAAGTAACTTCTTACATTTTACAAATATTTTTTGTCTGTACTTTTATTTGTTAATAATTTCTTACATAAAAGTGATTGTTGGAAATAAATAGTGATAGTAAAAAATATCAACAAATAAAAATATTACTAATAAACAAATTAAAAGAAAAAAATTAGTCTCCATGCTTGGAAGTCTTAATCCTTCGTAATACGGAGGTTTGATCTCTCCATAACAAGAGACTTGATCTCTCATAACAAGCCTCCGTATTACGGAGGCTTGATCTTATGGAGAGATCAAGTCTCCATAATAAATATGGAGAGACTCCTTTGATATATTTTTTTTATTTAAATGATATTTTATTTATAGATCATCTATTTAACATATAAATTAATATTTAATTTTAAAAATAAAATATATTTAAATATTTACTCCAAATTTTTAAGTTAATATATTGTTAAGTTACAAGTAATTTTTATAATTATAAATTTTTTTTTCTAACTTTAAGCGAATTTTTTTTACATATATTTATGGAATTCACACTTTTGCTCTTGAATTAACCCCATCAATAAATTATTATTTAAACGGTTCGTAAACATTCTGATTGATATTAATTTTTGGTCATCCAAATATTTACTATATACATTTTACGTACATATATAAAAATAATGGCTCCACACGGAGGCTCATGCTTGAGCCTCCGTGTATATAATAATATATATTAATAATATAATTAATATTATATTATATTATTATAATATAATAATAATATTATTATTATATTATTATTATTTTAAAATTTAAAATTTAATTTTTTTAATATATATATATATATATATTTATTTATTTATTTATTTTATTTTATTTTATTTTATTTTATTTAAATTGTTGGCCTCCATAATTACGGAGGCTCAAGTAATTATGGAGGCCTCAACATGAGCCTCCGTTTAACGGAGGTTCATGCTTGAACTTAAACGGAGGCTCATGCTTGAACCTCCATAACATTACTTTACTAAAAAAAAAAAATATATCATAAAATCATATTACTTTATAAAAATTAATTTTAAAAATTATATATGATAGATTATGTAATTTTGAAGCACAATCTAACATATTAAGATTAGAATCATTTCACGATAAAAATGAAATGGTAATAAAAACTTATTTTTCGAAAAAATAAATATATTCATTTGTTAACATGTTTGGTCTTCATTTTTAAAAATTTATCTTTCTCCAAACATATTTTCAATCATATATTTATGGAATTCACACTTTCGCTCTTGAATTAGTGTGGAGAAATAGAGAGGCATGACTGTAGCGTGTAAAAATGGAGAAAGAGTAAAGAGGACTCTATGACATAATCTTCCATGCCGCGTAAATTGAGGAAAAGCAACAAAGCAACTGTATGAAACACGTAAGATAAACGACGTCGTTGCTTTCTCTCAATAAAAAAAAAGTTACAGTAAGACAAAATGGAAAAATATACTGTTCTTTCTACAGTAGTGAAATATTTCCCTTTTTATATTGTAGTGATATATCCCTACAAACTTATAAGAGTGAATCCGTCCGGCACTGCTCACATTTCGTCCAATACGACGTCGTTTTGTGAAGTTGTAAAAACGACGTCGTTTAGTACTTAATATGTTCGGAACGCTACCGTTTTGGATTTGTATAAATTTGGGAGGAGGTGCAAACCCTAAAGCATTTCTACCCTAGGTTGATATTTTCCGCCGCTCCCCATCTCTCCTCTTCGAATTTTCGCCTCATTTCCTCCTCGATCGTTTGTTCAAAACGTTGAAGAATTGTTCATCTCTGGATTTGTCTTTTGAAACTTGAAACTTCCATATATAAGAGTGAGTAATAGGAGTGAGCCCGTGTTTTCGTGTTCGCTTTTCCTCCTACATACCGCCGACCTTGAAACAAGAGTAGATCCATCGGTCAGTGTTCATTTGTTTGATGTATATAACCACGACCTCAAAGCCATCCACCGGATATTTTAGCAATGGACTGCGATAGGTGAGTTGGACTATTTTCTTCGAACTATAAAGCTTCTTTCTTTCTTTATTTATTTAATTTTTTTTCTTTTTGTGGGTTTACAAATATGAATATGCGTATTTGTTTTGTGAACAGAAATTCTCCCCAACGGTTAGTGTTCACGTGTTTAATGTATATAACCACGACCTCAAAGTCAACCACCGGAGATTTTTGCGATGGACTGCGATAGGTGAGTTGGACTATTTTCTTCGAAATGTAAAGCTTCTTTCTTATTTTTTGTTTTTTCGGTTTTACAAATATGAATATGGGTCTTGTTTTTTATGAACAAAAATTTCAGCCAACAATTCATGTGTTTGATGTAGTAATTTTGTTTTTCTTTGTCAAAGAGATTATTTTACAATTGAGTTTTTTTGAAAAATGTACTGTTAAAATTGATGATGTGTCTTATCAAAGGTACTCTCATACTGTTTAATGTGTGATTTCGAAAACGAAAATGTTGATGCGTAACTTTCCAGTAATCTACATTTATGTCTTCTAGAATATTGAAATACTATTTTTCTTTACATTTAATACAACGGGAAACAATGCACCGACTCTTTGTTTTTATATTTGAGGACACTGCTGAAGTTGATAGGTTGCGAAAAGCATCTACTGACTGGTTAGTAGTATGTTATTTTTTTATACTGAACAATTTTTGAAATGTACAAAACGTATTTTTTAATTAGTCTTTCTCGTACTGTGTTAATAGGAACGAGACGATCTGAAGTTTTGTATACGAGCTTTGAAGTCTAAGAGAGCTGTTTGACGTGTTTGAACGATTCGAAGTACAATTGGATATGTCGCTAAGCTTCGTATTGATTAAGAGTTTTACCCAACAAAGTTTTATGTATACTTATTATGTGATGACTATTATGAAGTTGGTCGCAAGATTTAACTATCATACGTATGCATTACAGCTCATTCTCTTTTGTATTGATCAATTTTTACTTTTTTTCTTTATTTTTATTGCTCTACATTTTGCACTCTTTAATTTTAATATCTTTGAAATATATTTATTTATTTACAGGCACATTAATGTGCACTTATGTCCTCTAAACTTACCTATTTAGAGACTGTGTTTTTTTTTTCTGTCCTATTTTGTTGTTGATTATTCTCATTTTTACCATTATATAGTATTATTAGTTTATAAGTTGTTCGATTTTTCCTTAAATACTACAGTGATTTTCCGTTTACTTCTGTTACCTATTCATTGGATTAAACATTTTAGTATTTTCATTTTATTTTTGAAAGATAATGCATATTTTACAAAACTAAACACTGTTTCTGATTAAACTAAATACTGTTTTTCCTGAAACTAAACACCATTCTTCCTTCTTATTACTCATCGTATTATTCTTGAAATATAAATATTTGTTTCGTGTGTTCTTTTCATTAGCGGTATGGTGAATTCCCCATTCTTATATTTCTGTTAACGTTCGGATAACAATAGAAATAATGACACATTTGTAAACTTTATTTTGTTTCTTCTCTAATTTATAATAGATGACTGAAGATGATAGTTTTAAAGCACGCATGGAAGTGAGAAACAAAAGGCGTAGGGAGCTGTATGCTGAACGTAAAAAAATACAACGTGTAGGCACATTTCGGCAAACTAGGCCTGAATTTCTTGACGAAGCAGAAGTAAATTTGAGTTATAAAAGTAGTGGTTCTGGAGAAATTGGTGAGCATAGTTTTTTTTGCAGTTAGTTTAGAAATATTGTTTTTAAATCGTTCTCCATTCTGAATCTACTTTATTTATTTTTCTTTTAAATTTTAATTTATTGTATGAAAATTTAAAACTTCTCCTTTTCTATTGCGGTTCGAGAATCTGCTCATTAACCATTATCAAGCACTGAAACTGGTACTTCAAAAAATTTAGTCGATGATCAACATTTGTACGAAAAGGATCTGTGTGTACTTCACAGCCAGGTTGGTATGTTACAATTTGATGAATGCTTTGGTGATTTTAGTTTAAATAATGTTCCTACAAAGCCTCGTATACTAAAAAAAACCAACAATTTGTACCTATTGCAATGCGAAAAAATTTGAGAACGAATGTAAAGGTTTTTGTTGTTGTGATGGAAAGGTTAGATTACAAATTAATAGTGTACCTAATGAATTGTACAACTTATTTATTTCAGATACATGCGATGCTTTGCTTTTTAAAAACAATGGACGTAGTTATAATAATCATTTTGCTTTTACTTCATTTGGTGTAAGATGTGATAAAGATTTACACAAAAGTTACAAAGGTATTTATACATTTCGAGTTCAAGGACAGGTCTATCATTATATAAACGAACTTTTACCAAGTGATGGCTCTCCATCATATCTGCAATTGTACTTTTATGATACTGATAACAAGATACAACATAGATTACAAAAATCAGACAAATTTTTTGAGTCAATCCTAAGAAAGTTGATCAATATCTTAAAAATCAATCCATACTCGAAAATTTTCCGTTCATTAAGTAATATTGATGATTTAAAAACATACAAAATACACATTAGATGTGACCCTGGTCTTGACCTGAGAGAATACAATACACCTTCTGTGTCACAAGTGGCTGGAATTTGGATTGATGACGATCCTTCTGCAGATATTAGAATTCGTGATATATCAATTTATTGTCATTCTGGTGTTTCACATAGAATACATTATTATTTTGGTTGTTATGATCCACTTCAATATCCATTACTATTGCCTTATGGTGAACCTGGATGGCATGAACGTATTGAAAAATTCTATAAAGAAAAAGTTCACCAATCCCACATAGCAGACAATTCCATGGATTTGAATAACATACATTCAGCCAACGAATTAATTGATAGTGAAAATGCAGGTTAACAATGGCAAAATGTACTGTATATTTCATTGTATTAGTTATTAGTATTCTTTGATATTCAACTTAACTATTTATTTTACTTGTTTCCAGCTTTGATGATGAGAAAAAAAGATCACAGGTTTCGTGTCGTGAGTACTACTGTTATAAACTTCAGGTAAGAAATTTATGTAGTTCTATTTTGCTTCATGCAGGTAGACTTTTACAACAATATGTTGTTGATATGTACATCAAAATTGAAACCAGTAGGCTAGATTATTTTCGAAATAATCAAAAGGAAATACGCGCAGAACTTTACCAAGAAATTGTTGATAGCATAGAAAATGGTGAAAATAGAGGTTATAAAGTTGGTCGAAAAATTATTTTACCATCGTCCTTTGTTGGTGGGCCTAGAGATATGACAAAAAGATATATGGATGCAATGGCATTAGTGCAAAGATTTGATAAATCAGATATTTTTTTAACAATAACATGTAATCCTAATTGGTTAGAAATAAAACAAGAATTAAAGAACAATGATATTAGTCAAAATAGACCAGACCTGACTACTCGTATATTTAGAGCTAAATTGGAAGAGCTGAAATTTGATATAGTAAAATGTCGCATTTTTGGACCAATCGTTTCGTATATATATGTGATAGAATTTCAGAAAAGAGGACTCCCACATGCTCATTTTTTGATAATTTTTAAATCAGGTTATAAAATTACAAGTGTTGATTTAATTGATTCAATTGTTTCATGTGAAATTCCAGATACAAATAAACATCCTCATTTACATTCTGTTATAGTAAAACATATGATGCATGGTCCTTGTGGTACATTGAATCCTAAGAATGTTTGTATGAACAAAAAAGGTGAATGTAAACATGACTATCCAAAGGAACATAACCCTAAAACTTCTCTTGGCAAAAATAGTTACCCAAATTATAGACGTCGTGAAGATGAAAAATCAGTTACTGTTAGAGGACATTTATTAGACAACAGATGGGTTGTCCCTTATAATCCCTACCTATCTGCTAAATATGATTGTCATATAAATGTAGAAGTTTGTTCATCTGTCAAATCAGTTAAATATCTATATAAATATGTATACAAAGGACATGACAAAGTAAGTTTTTCTATAAATAATGACAAATCCATGCCTATCACTGATGAAATCGTAACATATCAGTCTGCGAGGAGGATTTCACCACCTGAAGTAATGTGGAGGATATATGGATTCATTTTATCTGAAATGTCTCCACCAGTTATTTCATTACAATTACATCTAGAGAATAGTCAATCTGTTGCTTACAGAAATTTTGATAGTTTGTCTACAGTTATTAATAGAGATCACAATAAACGAACAATGTTAACTGAATTCTTTCGGATGAATATTATAGATGAATTCGCCAAAACTTTGTTATATAGAGAATTTCCACACTTTTTTGTATGGGATGCACAAAGTCGAATATGGGCTCGAAGAAAGAAAAGAAATGTTATTGGGAGAATAGTTACAGCTAATATAATCGAAGGAGAAATATATTATTTACGAGTTTTACTCAATCATATTAAAGGAGCAACATCATATGAAAATTTGAAAATGATAAATGGAGTTTCTATGTCGTCATTTCGCGAGGCAGCTCTTTTACGTGGTTTACTAAATAGTGATAACTATTGTGAGCTATGTTTGGAAGAAGCTGTTACTTATGAAATACCAAGTTCTTTGCGCCGTTTATTTGCTACTATCTTAACTTTGTGTGGACCTAATGATCCAAAAGCACTATGGAATAAATTTCGTAACTTTATTTTTGAGGACTATATAAATCTTGGTATCTCTGACTTAGATGCAGAAATTAGAGCTTTACAGGAAATAAATTCTTTATTAGAACCAGCTGGTAAAAATATCAATGAATATTGTGTTGTACCTTTTGAGATAACTATAGGAGAAGAAGAAAGATTAGGTAACATGATTGCTGAGGAAATGATAAATGTTATTAGCGAATTTGATATTTTATACACAGAATCTTTGAACAAAGAACAACAGATTGCTTTTAATAAAATCGTTACAGAAGTTTTTTCTGATGGCGGTGGTATGTTTTTTATTGATGGACCAGGTGGAACAAGAAAAACGTATCTCTACAAAGCATTGCTTTCAGCTGTAAGGTCAAAAAATTGTATAGCCTTAGCTACTGCTTCTTCTGGAATTTCTGCTTCTTTATTACCAAGAGGTCGAACTGCACATTCCAGGTTTCAAATTCCTCTTGAAATATCCAATAATATGACTTGTTCAATTAGTAAACAATGTGCATTAGCAAGTTTATTAAGAATGACAAAATTGATTATTTGGGATGAAGCACCAATGTAATTGATTATTTGGGATGAAGCACCATATAACATGTTGAGAGATATTAATGAATGTAATTTACCATTTGGTGGAAAAGTTTTCGTCTTAGGAGGAGATTTCCGACAAATTTTGCCAGTTATTAAAAAAGGAAACAAGACAGAGATTATGTAAGCGTGTTTAGTATATTCACATTTATGGTCACATTTCATAAAATTTGAATTAGTTCAAAATATGAGAGCTCAGTTAGATCCAATCTTCTCTAAATTTTTACTTAGCATTGGTAATGGAGTTGAAAAACTACACACCTGTAACATGATTCAACTTTCACCTGAAATAACTATATGCTTTGAAAATGAGGTAGTGTCGTTGAAGAATTTAATTCATGCTGTTTTTCCAGATTTAAATAATTATACTGATGATTTAAATGCTGTAATTAACAGGGTGATTCTAACTCCCAAAAATGAATATGTTGATCAAATAAATAATATTCTACTAAAAGACCTTCCAGGAAAAACTTTTACCTATTATAGCTTTGATGAAACATTAGAAGAAACTCGACAGAGTATTCATGAAGATTTCCTGAATACATTAACTCCGAATGGTATTCCACCACATGAGCTTATATTGAAACAAAATTGTCCTGTAATGTTACTTAGGAACATTAATCCATCGGAAGGTTTATGTAATGGTACTAGACTAATTTGTCGTAGATTTGAACGTAATGTGATTGATGCTGAGGTAGCCAATGGAGAATACCGTGGTAAAAGAGTGTTTCTACCTAGAATTCCATTTATTCCACTTCAAAGTGATAAAAATTCTTTTCCATTTAAAGAACTCAGTTTCCCATTCGTCCATGCTTTGCAATGACAATAAATAAAGCTCAAGGTCAAACTTTAGATTTTATTGGATTATATCTGCCGGATTCTGTATTTTCTCATGGACAATTATATGTTGCACTATCTAGAGCTAAGATAAGTAAATCCGTTAGAGTTTTAGTAAAACCAACTAAGAAAGAAAAGATGCATAATAGATGCACGCAAAATGTAGTTTATAGAGAAATTATAGCCTTGGTACATCCTTAGTACATTTATACGTCGTTTGTAATATCTTCATATTATATTATCTAATGTGATCAAACTATTTAAAGATAATTTATTTCACAGATTTGAAATTCAGCTAATTTTTGTAGTTAAGGAATGTGTGACAAATGAAGTTTTTTTTTATAAGAAAAATGCCTCCATCATCTAAATTCATCCAATTTATCGTAAGATGAAGAATAGGGAAAGCTTCGCCACAGAATACAGAATAACATTACATACTATAATTGAGCTTCCATTTTGTATATAAGATCTTCAAAATATTGCATGAAGATTTCCTTTCTATGGGATAAATATTAAAGTAGTTGACACGGAGATGTACATTTTTGATTTAAAAAGTATTTAAATATTTTAGCTTTCCTATATTTTTATATTAAAAAGATTCATGCAATATTTCCTTTGTGCCATTTCAGGTATAAAGTAGTAAGATAATTTATGAAATAATATAGTTTTGATAACTTCATAAATTCCACTCTTTTTCACTAATTGTACATCTATTCATGTCACCTCACTTCATTATCGTACCTATAAAAACTTGTGTGATCACCTTTGAAGGTGTTTGATACGAAGTGAGAGCTCTATTCTCGTATGCAATTTCATTATGTTCTTAAAGACGATATACCCCCCTTTGAAGAGAAGTGATAGGTCCATCTAAATTCTCATCATAGTGAACAGTTGCAATTTTAATAATTTATGTCGTTCTGAAACATTCCCTTCCTCGTAGAGTTCTACTTTTATTGATTTCATTGCAGTTTAACCAAACCTTTATTTTTTTGAGCAACGTTTTGTCCTACTTTCAATCTTCAACGCTTCTTTTGGTGCTTCTACATTTGAGTTTCAGAACTATACCATTGTTCAGCTAAGAAGGTTTGTTCCTTGTTTAATCTTTGCTCTCTTTGTGCAATTATCAATCTCTACATTTCTATTTTACATCTATTTTCATCTTGCACTTCCATTCACTTTTTTAGGCTACATGCTACTTTGCAGATACTTTTAGAAAAACAAATATTAGTAATTATACTTGAGCCTCTTCTAAAGCATTCATCACTAAATTTAGAAAGAACTCTTTTGAAAACCTACCTCATTCCATTATTTAAAAGACCAGTCAAATAATTTCATATAAAATTTTTTCGTTCTTCATAGTTACAACATCAGCACTGTAATACAAAATCGATGACGACTTTTCTATCAAATATTTAGTTGTTCTTTGAAACTGTAATATGTTTTCGAAAGAATTCTTTCTAATTTAGTGATGCTTACTTTCGAAGAGGCTCAAGTTCTGCACTGCAGTACCATAAAAATGAAGAGGTAATAGTCTAATTAATATACCTATTAGATTAATGACATGGGGTTTTATTATCATACCTTAACATTTACTACTTATGCTATCTTTTGCAGCAAAGTAATTCTTTGATTACCAAAGAATTACCCTCAAAAGTGACTTTTGAGGCTTATGAGTCTCGACTGCCAGGTATAAATACAATTAGTTCACTAACCAATAAACTGTGAATGATTGAGTTACTGCACATAATTTCATGATGTTATTATGATAAAATATAATGTTTTCAAAAAAACTAAGCTTATCGTCATACGAAGATTAAATGTAATATTCATGTTCATTCTTTACCCTTCAGGATACTTTTGTTAGTATCTAAATCAATCAAATTAAATATACTAATTAATATTCATGTTCTACATTAATTAAACTTTTAATAATTATATATCTCTATAAATTTGTAATTTCTAATGTATAGTTTTGACAAAAACTTCATAAATTTCAATCACATGTACCTCTAGTTAACAAACAAGTAAATTTATTAATGTCGTTAGCATCCAGTCTAAAGAAATAATACTTCTCATCCCATACTTTTTCTTCCCAATTTCTTACGTATTGTTTTCCATATCCATCGCCAAAAGTACAAATCTTCGAGTTATTTTTTAAATTTAAGTCGCCCAAAAAAATGTTACATCATTTATTACAGCATATTTTGTACGCTTACGTTACTTCAAGGATTGATTTTTATAGTAAAAAAAAATAATAAAATACAATCGTATGTTTTCACTTCCAATAGTGTATTCTGTCATACATAATTAAAAATCTGTCATTCATCCTTGAAAACGTATGTCAACCATACCTTCTCCCACTAACTATCATTCATCATTCAGAAGATATTTAGCCATACTTTACCCTACCAACTTCTGACATTGAAGTCCTTTTTTATACATTGCAACAAGTTTCATATTATTTTATAAATAAATTTCAGTGAATAAACACAACATTCATAATTTCAGATGTGTGCATTTTCAAGTATTTACATAGAGCATATTTTATTATGAATCACCAGTATGTATACATACATAAAATATAAGAAATAAAAATAAATAAAATACAACCATCTAACACCACTACTGCACCTTTCTATTTACTGTTCTTCAATTTATTATTATATACTGTTGTGCAGAACAGCAATACACAACACCTCCCTGTATATATACTCATGTATACGAGTCATTTCACTTCTACAAACATCTTCAACTTCTTCTCTTAAAAAAAAAAGCTGAACCACAACAAAGAAAGAAGTCTTTCTACAATCTACTCTAGGTACAATTTCTTTTACTTTTGCTAATGCACCTTTAATATTTTACTACTACAATTCATATTCTTCATTAAATGATATCTTCTTCTCTATTGTTTTGTGCACTATCCGTTTCCATGTTAATTACATCATGTTATCTAGAATAGATTTTTAGATTTTCTTTTTCATATTTATTATGTATATATGTTTATGTTTTAGTAAATATGGACAACAATTTCCAACTTATTCGAGATATTTCTGCTGGAGCCTCGGGGTGGACTGCAAAAGTTGTTGTTGCGGAAAAAAGTTCACCAAAAAATTTTCGAACGGGCTCAGGAAATACCAAAAGATCGTGCTTATGGACTCAGAGGTAAGTGCTTCAGCTTAACATAAGTATTTCTTTATAGTTTTAACTCTTCTAATAATGAAAATATATAGAAATATAAATGTACATCTACATCTGTATAAAACATATCCTAAAGTATTATTTTCGAAATTTTGTACTTCCAAAACACATAATTTAATTCCATACTTAACAGCCAAAATATTACATAGCATTCTAATTTCATTTTTTACTTTCTAACATAGGGAGCAACGGTTCAAGCAACCTTATATGATCACCATATAAATGCTTACAGAGACGAGCTGATATTGGGCAAGACTTACTTAGTATCAAATGCATTGGTGAAAAATGCAAAATCTGAGTACTCTTCCAAATTAAACGAAGTGGGTTGGACAATTTCAGGAAAGACTAGAGTACAAGAAATCAAGGAAGATCATGGGTCCCTTCTAATATCTACATACAATTTCACCGACTTCCAAGAACTTGAAAAATACATGGATTCCAACGCAGATATAAGTGATTTATTGACTTTTTCAAACTTTTCTATCCATATTCCTTACAAGCTTTTCTCTATTATTACATTTCATCCTACTTATTGAAATTACTAAAAACTGTACAGGCATCATTGGAATTGTGATTGATATGCGACCAAAAAGACTTCTTCAAACACGCTTTGGAACTGAGACTATTGTACAAGATTTAGTTCTTATTAACAAAAAGTAAACCGCACTTCTTCTATCCTTATTTTATACTTATTATTATTTTTTTCCTTCTTGTAATATTTTGTTATTTATTCCATTCATAATTTCATATATATCATATACTCTAGGTTTCAAATAGTTCTTCTCACAATGTGGGAAAACTTTGTTGTAAATGAATGCAACTACATCTCAGAAAATTTAATAAAACAGCCGGTTGTCATTGCTAAGCATCTGAAAGTCTCTTCTTTCAATGGTAATCAGTCTTCTCTACTGTATATATGCACACAACAGCTTCTTGTACATG